TCTGACCCTCCTCCCTCTCATGCTCTCTCATTCTCTCGCTCTCAAATAAATAAATAAAATCTTTAAAAATAATAATAATAATGGCAGGGGCTTCAATACTTGAGTTTCAACAATGGATAGATCAGACAGAAAATTAACAAGAAAACATTGGACTTAAACTACACATTAGATCAGACAGACATTTATAGATCCTCCCATCCAACAGCAGCAGAATACAGACTCTTCTCAAGCATACACAGAACACTCTGCAGGACAAGATCATATGTTAAGGCCACAAAACAAATCTTAATAAATTTAAGATGACTGAAATCTTATCATGCATCTTTCCCAACAACAATGGTAGGAAACTAGAAATCAATTACAAGAAAAAAACAGAAAATTCAAATGTCACAAATATGTGTAGATTAAACAACACATTACTGAACAACCAATGGGTCAGAGAACTAATCAAAACAGAAATCAAAAAATATCTTGAGGCAAATGGAAGTAGAAACTAAACACACTACAACTTAGGAGATGTAGCAAAAGCAGTTCTAAGGGAGGTTCACAGCAACAAATGCCTACCTTAGGAAAAAAGAAAGGTCTCAAACTACCCAACTTTATACCTCAAGGAACTAGGGGAAAAAAAAAAAAAAGGATGAACCAAGCCAGAAGTTAGTAGAAGGAAAGAAATAACAAAGAGAAGAACAAAAATAAACGAAATAGGGACTAAAAAGACAACAGAAAAGATTAAGGAAACTAAAAGCAGATTCTTTGAAAAGATAAAACAGACAAAAATTTAGCTAGATTCACTTAAAAAAAAAAAGAGGACTCAAATAAAATTAGAAATGAAAGAGGAGACCCTATAGCTGACACCCCACAAACACAAAGGATCATATAAGACTACTATAAAAAATTATATAACAATGAATGGAACAATCTAGAAGAAAATGGATAAATTCCTAGAAACATACATACAACGTACCAGAACTGACTCATGAAGAAACAGAAAATCTGAACAGACCAATTACTAGTAAGGAAATTGAACCAGTAATAAAAAACCACCCAACAAAGAAAAGCCCAGGACCAGATAGCTTCAAACACTCAAAGAAGAATTAATACAAATCCTTCTCAAACTATTACAAAAACTGAAGAGGGAACACATTCAAAATCATTTTACAAGACCTGCATTAACCTAATAACCAAAATCAGACAACAACATTAGAAGAAAAGAAAATCACAGGACAAAATCCCTGATGAACATAGATGTAAAAATCCTCTACAAAATATCCGTAAACTGAATTCAACAATACATTAAAAAAATCATACACCATGATCAAGTAGGATTTATTCCAAGGATACAAAAATGGTTCAATATCTGCAAAACAATCAACGTGATACACCACATTAGTAGAATGGTAAAAAAGAATCATGATCATCTCAACAGATGGAGAAAAAGCATTCTACAAAATTCAACATCCATTCATGATAAAAAATCTTAAATTAGGCGTAGAAGGAACATATCTCAACATAATAAAGGCCATATATGACAAGCCCAGAGGAACATCATACTCAATAATAAAAAGCTGAAAGCTTTTCCTGTAGGATCAGGAACAAGACAAGAATGCCCATTTTCACCACTTTTATTCAACTTAGTACTGCAAGTCAGAGCAATAAGGCAAGAAAAAAAATAAAAGGCATCCAAATTAGAAAAGAAGTAAAACTGTTCTTTGCAGATGACATGATATATATAGAAAACCTAAACACCACCAAAAACTGTTAGAACTAGTGAATTAATTCAGTAAAGTTGCAGGATACAAAATCAATATACAAATATCAGTTGTGTATCTATACATTAATAACAAACTATCAGAAAGAGATTTAAGAAAACAATCCCATTTTTTTTTTAAAGAGTTTATTTATTTGTTTGAGAAAGAGAGAGAGACAGAGACAGCATGAGCAGGGGGAGGAGACAGGGAGGGGGAGGAGACAGGGAGAGGGAGAAGCAGACTCCCCACTGAGCAGGAAGCCCAATGTGGGGCTCGATCCCAGGACCTTGGGATCATGACTTGAGCCAAAGGCAGACCCTTAACCCACTGAGCCACCCAGGCGCCCCAATCTCTTAAACGTTTACTATTCTGCTGATGTTTTGTCAACATTCAGTATGCACGTAAATATATATTTAATAAAATCATATAACATATAATATTTATATATATATATTTCTAGGGATTCAAATATTATCACCTTTAAAAAAAATTAATAGGCCAAAGAAAAACTGTTTCCTCCTTCTGAGAGCTTTTATAAAGTCAAACATAACATAAACTGAACATCTATTATGTATCAGATACTTTCACATGTGTTATCTCATTTAATCTCTTATTATTCACATTTTCCAGAAGAGAACATTGTAATTCAGAATGGTTAAACATGGTGTCAAAGGTTATACATATAATAACAAAAGCCAGGCTTTGATCCTAGGGGTGTCTGTTTATAAAGCCAAGATCATTCTATTACCAGGGTTGGCAAACTCAATATAAAGAGTCAGAGAGTTAATATTTTAGGTTTTTTGGGCCACATGACCCTGTCACAACTACTTAACTGTACTATTTAGCCCAAAAGCAACTGTAGACTACATGGAAACAAATGAGAGTAGCTCTGTTTCAATATAACTTTATTAATAAAAACAGATGCAGGGTCAAATTGCCAATCCCTTCACTATACTACAATGCACTTCCTCCTAGAGAACCTCCATTAAGTTTTCATTAACATCACCAAATTGTATTTCTCTCTCTCCTTAAAAAAGTATGACCTTAATCTTACTGGGCAATTTTATTTTAATGCTTTTCTTATTAGGCTCCATTATTTGAAACAGGTTACTCTTGGGGGAATACGTTCAACCTTTTACATCTTCTAACTATAATGCTAATTATATCAGAAATTAATCTATAAATCAAATAAAACTTTTTTTTAAGATTTTATTTATTTATTCATGAGAGACAGAGAGAGAGAGAGGCAGAGGGAGAAGCAGGCTCCCAAGGAGCAGGGAGCCCAATGCGGGACTCGATTCCAGGACCCTGGGATCATGACCTGAGCCGAAGGCAGTCGCTTAACCATCTGAGCCACCCAGGAGCCCTCAGATAAAACATTTCTAAAACTACAGTACTAGCATGCCCTAAATTCTCAGTGTGAAAATGTCAAACATCCATATTTAAAGTTCTCCCTTTTGAACTTTTTTCAGTTATTAGTATCTAATTTTAATTGCTCAATCTTTATTTAATAAGCATAATCATCACAAGACCAAAGTAATATACACAGCCAAGCAACAATAGCAAATATCCTCTTTTACTTATACAAAATGATCATATATAGAGGCACCTGGGTGATGCAGTTGGTTAAGCATCCAACTCTTAGTTTCAGCTCAGGTCATGATCTCAGGGTCGTGAGATCAAGCCCTGCGTCAGGCTCTGCGCTCAGGGAGGAGTGTGCTTGGTACTCTCTCCCTCTCTCTCTCTGCCCCTCCCCCTCATGCATTCCTCTCTAAAATAAATAAATAAATCTTAAAAAAAAAAGATAATATATACATAAATGACCTAAAGACACAGAACTTAACGACCTTATTCTTTAGAAAGGCCCTTCACTCCCTTATTCCAAAATTTAATTATATGTGCCACCACTGAAATTGTTATTTTTAAGATTTAAACAGTATAAAATGATACAAATAGGAAAGAAAAATTCCCCTTCTCCATCAAGGATTCTGGTCTTTCTTCCCTTGCTCCCACTCTACCCTCCTTCCTCACACACACACGGGCACTCTTGTGCATGCTTTCTTTCCGTTCTGTCTGCCTGTCTGCCTCTTTCTCTGACTTACACACACACACACGGTACTTCAAAAACACAATCCAAGTCCAAATAATGCACAAGATCAGACCGAGTATCAACTGTACACACAAAACACAGAAGATAAGATTCAAAAACACATGATCAGATTCAAATCCCAGCTCTACAACTAAAACCAGTTGAATAATTACTAGCTTTGTGCCTTCAGTAACTACCTATTTAACCTCTATTAGTCTCTTTGCTCATCTATAAAAATGGGGGAAAAGTGTACCCCACCTCATGTGGTTGTTGTGTGCATTAAAGTGAGAATGGAAACAACATGCCAACAGCATGCCCAACAGCATGGTGTTGATACGTATATAGTCAAGTACTTAGAACTTGCCACTGCTCTTACTCCCACAACCACCCCTAACATCACCAATCTGGGACAAGTCTTAACTAAGATCTATTGTTATTCCTGTACAAAATGGGAAAAGCACTGTTTCCAATGGTATATAACACAACAATTTTTTAAAGGATTCTGCAAATTCTTCTTTTCGTTATTGTTAAAAGTCAGGGGAGAAAAGTCCCTTTTCTCAAAAACTTAACATTCCTTTGAGAACCTTTAAAAAAATAAGTATTTTTATTCCTGAAAGGAAACAAGAAGTTAGCATTTTTCACTTACTCTCTCATTGTTGTAGGCATTTTTATTTTTATTTTTATTTTTTTTTAAGATTTTATTTATTTATTTGAGAGAGAGAATGAGAGAGAGCGAGCATGAGAGGGGGGAGGGTCAGAGGGAGAAGCAGACTCCCTGCCGAGCAGGGAGCCCGATGCGGGACTCGATCCCGGGACTCCAGGATCATGACCTAAGCCGAAGGCAGTCGCTTAACCAACTGAGCCACCCAGGCGTCCTCATTGTTGTAGGTATTTTTAAACCAAAACATATATACCGAAAGATCTAATATGTTGCTTTTTCAAGAAAGTCACTCAACCCTAATATATAATCATAAATGGATTTGGTTAAAAGGGAACGTCAGATGAAGGTCTACTTTCTCAATCCCAATATATTTTAAAATTAACCAAGTTTAGCGTTTACTTTTGTTGTTTTTTGTTTTCAATCTTCTGCACGTAAAGGAACCACATGTTAATAACTGTATGCTACCGTCATTCTAACATTAGTGGCTATAAACATTTCTTACCAAGTTACGCTTTTTTACTGGAAGAAAGTAATAATAATGGCAGAAAGAAAACATCAGAGCGTAGGAAGTAAGAAGTTCCGTGTAGAAACACAACTGCAGAAAAAGCCAATGATTATCTTCACCCACACAATTGTTAATCCTGGAGAAAAAAGGAAAACAGAAACAGTATTTTAAACTTTAATAAGATGCTCACGTCAGGACCGGGAAAACTGAAAATACACATAAACAACTTCATATATGCTTGACTTTATGGAGCTATGCTAATGCCACTTCAGCCTACAAGCCCACAGCACACAGGAACAGCTATACGCTAAATACGCCACCTCACATTTGGAAAGCTCTTTCTACTTCACAAAGGAAGTCCATGGATGCGATCGGTCTTCAACTCACAACCACCCGGTGTGGCAGGAAGAGCAGATGGCAGTCTCCTCGTTTCATTGGTATGGAAACGGGAACAAAGGAGTGAAGACACTTGCCAGAGGAAGCGACAGTAGCCAAGAGAACAAGAACTTTCTTCTAGATAGTGCTCTTCCATTACAGCATCCCAGCTGTGGAGAGCAATTTGAATGATTCGAAGTAAGAAGACAAACCTGCCACTCTGACCTACTGCTAAGCACTCCCGATTTGTCTTACTTTTCCATTCTATCCTTGGCCGCTGAAAATATATATCCACAAGTATTTACAAATTCTTAGAGCTACAGTTCCACCATGACAACATGAATCATAGCTAGGAAAAATAATTAACGTGGTAACCCTGAAATTTTCAAGGCTGATGCAGGCTGAAAATTTTAGTGTTCCAAATTTTCAGAATATTTTATAATTCCCGCAGAAAACCCTAGTTCAAAACTAGAACTTACCTTGCACAAATGTCTTCATTTCCCTATAGCATTATACTGCCATTGTTTGGGGAAAAAAAGATATAGCTGGTGCAATTCCTAACAAACTGTTGTTTCAAAGGTGTATCATTAAACTTTTTTTTTTTTTTAATCATAGAAGTAAATGCAAAACACAAAGAGGCATTCCCTAAGCTTAAGAGCTCATGCTTTGTAAACATGAAAGTTCCCGTGTTTTGCGACTTGCAAGCAGGGCCTTCACAGAAGTGTGTTCACGTGTGCACTCAAACATACTCTCCAACAGCTATGGCTTCAGTGACTTATCCTTGTCCCATCCTCCTTCACCACCACCTCCGCCCCCCCCCCCCCCCGCTTTAATGATGGCATTCTTAACCAGAGAGCTTTGAGAAATGCAAAGGTACTCAGTTTATATGTAAGAGTTCTCTCAATAACAAACTACTCAGGAAGCCAGAAAGAGAGAAAACCTCCAGGTGATCTGAGAACTGACCTCCAAATCTAAAGCTGTTAGGCAGTTAAGATAATGCAGTTTCTGAAAATATCAAAAAATTTCCTTGCTTCCAATTCACACTATTTCCCTCACCCTCTGATACCTTGGCAATGCCCTATTAAGGAATTCAATCACAAAAGTCCCTCGATCTGTTTAAGGCCTCTGGTCTACCATCCTTCCCTACCTCCAACTCCTTCTACTTCTACTTTTCTTCCCACAAGTACTCTGAGAAGCTGAAAACCACTGCAGAGGCCAACAAACAAGAGAGCTCACCGCCCAATCTTAGAATTTAGATTAATAGCATATTTTTTGTCACCAAGTTAATCTTTATTCCTTAAAAATAAAGAAAGGGGGCGCCTGGGTGGCTCAGTCAGTTAAGCGACTGCCTTTGGCTCAGGTCATGATCTCGGGGTCCTGGGATCGAGCCCCGCATCGGGCTCCCTGCTCGGCGGGAAGCCTGCTTCTCCCTTTCCCACTCCCCCTGCCTGTGTTCCCTCTCTCGCTTTCTCCCTCTCTGTCAAATAAATAAATAAAATCTTAAAAAAATAAAAATAAAAAATAAAGAAAGAATGTTGCTAATCTCCACAGTACCAAAACATCTCCTGGTTGATTATTTTTTAAGCTCAAACTCTTGCATTCTTTTAAAAGGAAGTATCAATATCCAACCATAACATGAACATTTATTATATTCTTAGTTAATCAGAAACATTACTCTAAAAAAGGTTATACAATTGAGTTTTTCAGTGTGGTTACTACTTGCCTAATAATACATGTTTTACCTAGCCTTTTGTTTTTTAATGTATTACTATTGTAACTGTAAGCAGATCGCTGAGGTTTAGAAAATCACTTGAGAATTAATCTGTTTAAATTCAAGGCACATTTTTTAAACATCGGCTATATATTATATGCTATATTATCCCACTGATGGACTTAGACGATTTTAAACTTTTTTTATATAGTAACAAAGTGCTTTTATCTAAAATGCTTTTATTTTTCCTAATCTTGGGAAATTACATTCTGTTTAAATAATCAGTTTATAGTAAAAATCAAATTTTCACTAAAAGCTTGCAAATATTAACTTGTGCTATCAGAGTAAGTTATCAGAAAATATGGGGAACTCTAAATTGGTCAGCATCATCCAGCAAAGCTAAACTCCACCACCGAGTGAACTATAGATAAATGCAGTTATAAATTTAAGAAGCCCATTATGCAGTTAACTTTATATACGTGCATGTGTGTACAAACATAAATATATATGTATTTAGATATATTTACAAAGTGCTACACTATACTAGTTTAAATATTTATACAGAGATCCCATGCTAGGAAAACAGAATTAAATACAATATCTTGTTCACAGATTTTTGTGACAGCTTTGAAATGAGATACAATGCAGAATTCTCACAGCATTTGTTTTCAAAATTCTATTTCTCAACAGAACTGTTTTTAAAAATATTACAAGAGAGCCCCCTATTGACCAAAAATGTTGCCAGTTCAGGAGAATCAGCTAACTGCCTCTTACACACATCCAGCTTGCAGGGAATCTTAATACCTGCGTGCAATACATAATATTGAAAAAAGCTTACAGGGGGAGAAATGAGGCTATCAGAGTATCTGAGATGTGTTATTCTTTAATTAAACAACTGGAAAGGGAAATATAAACAATGCAATGTATACGATTTATTACAGTTAGAGACAGTAACAGCTACTATTTAAGTGCTTTTTCTGTGTCAGATGCTACACTACAATGTTTTACAAACATTGCCTCATTTAATACAACCACCTTAGTTCTCTTGTACACTTGGGTGCATTGACGCTGAACATCAATCTTCTGCTCAAATAGCTCTTTGTTAGAAAAGATAGGATCTCCGTGCAAAAATTACTTTGGCAGTTGATAGAACCTCATAGAACCTGACAGTATCCTTACCGAAGGATTTTTTAAAACTGCATGATTTTAATATAACTTTTATTTAAATCTGCTAAGTACTAAGATTTATTTTTCACTTTTTTTTTTTCTAAAAATAAATCATAGATTTCTTACCACGGACAGTGATGATCCATTCTCCTAACACAGTGGCCGCAGCGGCTACAGTGATGGGAACGCTTTGGTCTCATCAAATTACATTTGTTACATAATTCCCAGAACTCCCGTTCTAGAGAAGGAAATTAAAATCCACTTAATAAAGGCAAATGAGTAATGTTGAAATTTAGCAACAACAGTTTAGATTTTATAGGAAGTCTTCAATATGTATGTCCAAGATTTTTCTTCTTCTACATCTTCACTGTAAAAGAATTTGCCATAAATATTGCTTCTCTATTCTATGCATGTCTTATTCTATACATTTCTAATTTTAAACACTATAATAGTAAGACACCATTAATAGTCAAACTAAGAGATAGAAAATAATGTATTCGGGTTATGGACGTATTTGCTATAAGTAAAAAACAAACTGAGGGTTCTAGAGGGGCTCTAGAGGGGGTGGGAGGATGGGTTAGCCTGGTGATGGGTATTAAAGAGGGCACGTTCTGCATGGAGCACTGGGTGTTATACACAAACAATGAATCATGGAACACTGCATTAATGATGTAATGTATAGTGATTAACATAACAATAAAAAAATTTTTAAAAAATTTAATGACAAATCCCGAAAGCACAACCAATTATATTAAAACAGAATTTTATGTACAAATTAATTTCTAGAAATTTTATTAAAGACTCTAAAGAAGAAATAATTCTGAATCCTAGTTTCATTTATTAAGAAGTCAAAAATCAATCCTATAAGGGCAACTGGGTGGCTCAGTTGGTTGAGTGTCTGCCTTCGGCTCAGGTCATGATCTCAGGGTCCTGGGATCCAGCCCACATCCATCTGGCTCCCTGCTCAGCGGGAAGTCTGCTTCTCCTTCCCCCTCTGCCCCTCCCCTAGCTTGTGCTCATGCATGCACTCTCTCTCTCTCTCACTCACTCAAATAAATGAATAAAAGCTTAAAAAAAAAATCAATCCTATACACTCATTAGAAAAACAGAGATAGCATTCCCACTCCCTAACCATTTTATATTTTTAATATCAGTGAATTCATTTAGGAGTGTTTATGGGAGAGGGTAGGAAAATTTTGTGTTTCAGATGGATTTAGGAGGTATTAGGACGATTTCAGAAGTAAAGATGATTACAAGAAAATTATTATTTAATGGAAATAAGGTAGTTCTTTACAAAACTCTTACAACCAAGTAGCAATTTCCTCTACCTTGTAATTAAAGAGCACACATTTAAGTTTTGTGCTAAAAACATTAAGTTTACAGAAATAAAGTCATTTATTTTCATTATAAATTTTTCTAATCAGATCTATGAGAACTATATGAAAGTCATCTATCAAGACAACTGCTCTATTATACAGAATGTATCTATTTAATATTTGTTGAAATGGAGTTTTACTTTTACAAAATTCTTAAACCTTCCATCACTTACATTTAAACTACACTCTGACCTTGTTAAAAGCATGGGCATAGTAATAGTAAAACTGAGTGAATATTCATATATGTAAAGTATGACCCTAGCACACAGTAGGTGGTCACTAAATGCTTGCTAAAGTATGAATTTTTAAAAATGAACAATTCTAAATATAAGTAAAAGAAGATAATAGTAGGTAGTATTCAATTTTCTCAAAGATACCTTATATTAATTCCATTATTTTAGTTTAATGACCAGGAGTAAAATCAATATACTGGAATTTTCTATAGTGAAGTATTAGGAAAACATTCTGCTATAGAAGAAATCAATAATAATATCAAATTAATTGTTCCAATAATATTAAAGTTGAGAAATTAACTTTTGCATTTAAAATTTCATTTTTTTAATTCTTTATTTAAATTCAATTTAGTTAACACATACTATATTATTAGTTTCAGGGGTAGAATTTAGTGATTCATCAGTTGCATATCACATCCAGTACTCATCACATCACGTGCCTTCCTTAATGCCCATCAGCCAGTTACCCCATCTCCCCACCCACCTGCCCTCCAGCAACCCTCAGTTTGTTTCCTAGAGTTAAGATCCTCTTTCATTTCTTACTTACAGTTCTTATTTTAATAAAAACTTATGTGAGAAAGCAACATTAAAGTTTAATTTAGATGGTTAAATTAGTATTATTTAACTGTAACTGAAATGAAAACTCATTTCATATGTAGCACAATACAATGTCACAAGCAGATTACTCTTTTCCCATTTAGCAAGATGCTCCCAAACATCCCAGTGTTAAAATTCTGAATTCACATACTGCAAGGAATAGAGTCAGGAAGCAGACTCCCCCTGATGAGCTAATTTTCATTAAAAGACAACAGAAAAACTTTAGTTTTTAAAAACCAGTGCCTTAAAATATAAAAATGGTATATTTATACTGGTCATTTCAGCATACGATATTCTAGAGAGTAAAACTCTTTATTTCACACTTGAAATGTTGTATCCTCAGAAAAGAAGACAGCATTTGGTTATAGTGAGAGAAAGCCTGTAATTGTGTAGTCTAGACCACGGGGTGGCAAACTACAGTTCACAGGCAAATCCAGGCCACCACCTGTTTTCATGAGCTAGGAATGGTTTTTACAATTTTCAACAATTGAAAATAAGAAGAATGTGTGATATGTAAAAATCTTGAAATTCAAATTCCAGTGTCCATACATAAAGTTTTATTTGAACACAGTTCAAATGAACACCCATTCCTTTACGTTTTATCTATGGCTGCTTTTGGGTTGCAATGGCAGGGCTGAGGGGCTGTGACAGAGACTGTACGGTCTATAAAGCTGAAAATATTTACTATCTGGACCTGTACGGTAAAGATGGATGGATGGATTCAATTGCTAATTTATGGTAGCTATAGAAAAATTGACAACTGACTTTTTTTAAAGCAAAGAAAAATTTTAAAGGAAAGAAAAATAGAAAAGTGACTTCTTTTAAAGAAAAGAAGACAGACCCCATAAATGCCTGGGTACACCTAAGTAAGTAACCTAGGTAAACAGTATGCCGCTGTGTTGCATGGATCCTCTTAATGCTGTAAATGCATGAATAAACAAAAAGCAAGATTTGGTTTTGTTTTATTTATCCCTCGGAAAGAAAGGAATCACCTTCTAAGTAAGACTTTTAAAGTTTAAAAGTTTAAAGAGGACCTTATTAGGTCCTCTCAATTACTGTATTTCAAACCACAAAGTAATGTTTTAGGGAGAAAAATATAACTTGAAACTATGAAAATCAATACAGCGTTTGGCTCTTCACAGAGGTTCCCTGACAGAATCACTTGCCAATGTAGAAAATAAATGGTAGTAAGTCTCTAACAGATCTCCTTTAAAAAGCAATGTAAGAAATGGGGAGGGGAGCAAAACTACAAGTGAAAACATGACCCTGAGCATTAAGAGCACGTGTCCCTACCACTCAGGGTACAATTTCAAGGGACATTATGACACAAATTTTAAACATGCTACTTTTTTTTTTTTAAACTTGGAAGATTTTGCTCTGTAACAGGGTGATTCTACTCAAAGTGGCTCTAATGATGACAAAAAACACTGAAGTCAAACATGTAAGTTAAGAGCTTGATGATGATAATGTTCTAGGGGCGCCTGGGTGGTTCAGTCGGTTAAGCGTCTGCCTTGGGCTCAGGTCATGATCCCAGGGTCCTGGGACCAAGCCTCATAACTACCTCCCTGCTCAGTGGGGAGCCTGCTTCTCCCTCTGCCTGCCATTCCCCCTACTTGTGCTCTCTCTCTGTCAAATAAATAAACAAAATCTTAAAAAAAAAAAAAGAAAATGTTCTAAAATTGATTGGGGTGGGACGCCTGGCTGGCTCAGTCAGTAGAGCATGCAACTCTTATCTCTGGATTAGGAGTTCAAGCCCCAACATACATACGTACGTACATTCATAAAATTGATTGTGGTAACAGGTGCACAACTCTGTGGACATACTGAAAGCCCTAAACTGTACATCTGAAATGGGTGAATCATGGCATGTGATTTATACTCAATAAAGCTGTTTTTTTTAAAGTTAAGAGATTAAATAAAATCATTTCATAAAACTTGAAAATGACATAAAGTAATATTTCTATATTTAAAGCATGCATGGGATTAATTTGAATAATATAAATAGACATTTAATGATTTCATTTGACCATTTCATCTACATCCTCAGAAGTTTATAAAAGTCAAATTCTGGGGATCTTTGTGTGGGACAGCAGAACCTCTTATATTCAAACTGCCTCATATATTTGGCAGGTCACATAGATACTAAATTTACTTAAAATCGATTATAAAACAGAAAGTCATGTAAAATATTTCAGAGTAATTCAATTAAAACATGGTTAAAATCAAAAGTATTAGGGCTTAAGTTTCCTTTCCTAAAGAATTCAATTATATGAAACTGCTCAACCTTAAAACAGTGATGAATAAATGTCACTTCTTATAGCCCCAACTCTCTAGTCATGCTAATGTTATTTTTTTACTGTTAAAATTTTGTTATTTTTTACTAAGTTAAAACCATATTTACAAAATAATCAGGAAATCAGCATCACGAGGCACATGATGACTTCAATATTCCCCAGAATCAAAGCAAAGGTGAATAAAGGGCTCAAATTATTAACCTCTATATAGAGGCGTGGTAAAAAATATGATGGAGACAAGTATTGGGGTGTCACCGCAGCTCTATAACAACCTGCTCGGTGACCTACAGAGGACAATCTACACTTGATTATTCAGTCTACCTACCTCATGCAATTACCATGAGGATCAAATGATAGGAGATAGTAAAGGACTTTGGAAATATTAAAATACAATAAATGAATGTGGTGGTGGTTGTTTTTTTCAATTGGGCAAAAGGTAAAGTCTCCGGGACTCAGTGAAGAAACCTAGGCCAAATGTCAACTGAGATCAGAAAGAATGCAGACATCCGAACAGCAACAAGATACCATGGAGTCTTCCATCACTAGGGTCTATAAGCTAAAGGTAACACGGTGGTTGAACACAGATTCAGTTAGGCCTATAGACACACCTCGTTTAGTATTCACTTAAAACCAATGTTTTTAAATTTTTAATTTTTTGTTAATTTTTTTAAATCACAAACGTGCTCTTAAAAACTGTAATTCTCTGGGGCGCCTGGGTGGCTCAGTCGTTGAGCGTCTGCCTTCGGCACAGGTCATGGTCCCAGGGTCCTGGGATCGAGCCCCGCATCGGGCTCCCCGCTCGGCGGGAAGCCTGCTTCTCCCTCTCCCACTCCCCCTGCTTGTGTTCCCTCTCTCACTGTCTCTGTCAAATAAATAAATAAAAAATCTTAAAAAAAAACAAAAACTGTAATTCTCTGTTTTCTCTTTAAAAATTGTAAGATCTATGAATACCGGGCCTACGTGACAATTTCACTGCAGCTACTGCCTTTGGATATGAGATTTTCAATATGAAATAGTTCTTTCTTGGCCCCTTTCACTGATTTGCAGTATCTGATACATGTAGGCATTTGAGTGACCACTGCACACCAAAGATTTTATCAGAAATGGGTCTTTTTTTTTTTTTATGTTCAATTAGCCAGCATATAGTACATCATTAGTTTTTGACGTAGTGTTCAATGATTCGGTAGTTGCGTGTAACACCCAGTGCTCATCACATCACGGTCCTGAGTTAGGAAAAGGTTGCTTCTCTAATTTTCTAGAAACACTGGGCTTTAGAAATGAAGGAGGCAATACATCCATCAATGTGTTAGAGAGCCTTTCTTTGGGTTAGGTTAGTTGAGAAAACAGATTCCGTACAAATTGCAGACTGCCACCCTCCCCGCCCAAACACACACAAAAACTGAGAGTGATGCTGCTTCTCTAAGTGAATAAAAACGAAATACTCGACACTGTTCTCAGAAACTTCTACAGTCACATAAACATCAGTGTCTTATCATTCCCATTTAATCATTAAATTTGCAAGGCCACGTATGTCCCTAAATGATGGGTCTCAAAAAACAACATTCAGGAACTCAAGGGAGACTCACTCCCTTAGTGACTTGCCACTAATCTAATTTCAGAAGGAATTAATAGGTTCCCCAATTTTTTACACACTGGAATCACCTGGAATCTTTGAAAAATGCTGATACCTGGCTCCTACCTCCATACATTATAATTTAATTAATATGGGATTGGGATCAGGACACTGAGATTTTTTTTTTTTAATTATTTATTTATTTGACAGAGAGAGAGACACAGCGAGAGAGGGAACACAAGCAGGGGGAGTGGGAGAGGGAGAAGCAGACTCCCCGCTGAGCAGGGAGCCCGATGCAGGGCTCAATCCCAGGACCCTAGGACCATGACCTGAGCCGAAGGCAGACGCTCAACGACTGAGCCACCCAGGCACCCCAGGACACTGAGATTTTTAAAAGTTCCCTTGGTGACTCTAATGTCAGCAAGGTTGGAAAGCACTGAAGTACTACAGAAAGTGTTCTGATTCTCTAATGTCCAGCGAAGTCATAGGAATGTCTCCTTAGAAGAAAGTACAGAGAGTTCTCAAAGTTTATAGAACAAATGATCAGAAAGTGAAACTGAGGAAAGAGAGTTCCTGACGTTTACTATACCTGGCATGTAATAAAACAAGCAATACATTTTCAATTCATTTTTGTGGTTCAAATTGTTATTGTGCAATAAGGTGACCCCAAACTACCTTCAATTGACACTAAAATAAAAAGCTTTCAAATTTTTCACTGAATTGTTAAACTTGGAAAAATGTAGGCAATAGTATCATTACACTACAAATATTTACTCTAAGCAATATTCTATTTATAATATCACCAAGAGAGGGGCACCATCAAAAAGATCCCTTTATTAAATAAAAATATATCAGGTACTTATGTATCATTCAACAAGCATTTACCCAGCATCTACTAAGTGACAGAGATGGGCACTAAGGATACAGCACTGAACAAACGAAGAAAACAAAACAAAAAATCGACACCCTCACAGAGGCTATATAGGTATAGAGTAGGAGACAAGAAAAACAAGTAAAGTACAAAGAGGCAGAGAGTGGGGGATACCGGGAGTCAGCTGGGATTTGCGATTTTAAATAAAATAATACATTATATGAAAAAAGAAAAAAGAAGAAGATAGCAGGAGGGGAAGAATGAAGGGGGGAGAATCGGAGGGGGAGACAAACCATGAGAGACGATGGACTCTGAGAAACAAACTGAGGGTTCTAGAGGGGAGGGGGGTGGGGGGATGGGTTAGCCTGGTGATGCGTATTAAGGAGGACACGTTCTACATGGGGCACTGGGTGTTACACGCAAACATGAATCATGGAACACTACATCAAAAACTAATGATGTACTGTATGGTGATTAACATAACATAATAATAAAAAAAAAAGAAGTCTAGAAAGGAAACATCGGAGAAAAGACTTGAGAGTGGTGTTAGAGAACATATATAATGAATACATACTAAAGGCTATAAAATACATTCACAAAGTTAATAATGCCGAGAGAGCAAAAGTGATCAATCTGAAGAGCGCCATACCTCCGTGTGGAATCTTAGGGTTCTCGGGGAGTCTTCCTGGATCAGTAAATGAGGCCCTCACTAAAGCAACCAGACAAAATATGGCAATGCCATAGAATACTTTGAAATAAATAAGAAAGTTAAGTAAATAAAATCAGTCATTTATTCTTCAAAACACTTTATCAAAAAGCATATTCAAAGTTTAAATGCATGTTTTAATTAATGCCATCAGAATAAATAATTTTCAAAACTAAAATGGAAAAATGATTAAATAAAATAATTAAATATTCATTTCATTCATCAAATACTACTGCCAAGAGGACTATCTCATACATATTAACTTTAAATATTATTTTGCATAATAACTGATAAACTTGTTATAAATCAGATTTTTTATTAACAGAGATTCCTTGTCAATAATGGCATAAATGGGCTCCCTTTTAATTACTACATCTACTATATTTGACAGAATCAAAGCAGTATTTTAAAACCCATCCTACAATTAAACTTTTTCATTACCTCTAACTGGCTATCTTCAAACTTACTTTGAGTTAGAGATATTCAATTGCTCCTTTTAATTGAGCTTAAGATATTGATGTAATGTGAAAATAAAGAATCTAAAAATTTTGAGTTTTTAAAAGAATAACTAGAAAAACAACAGTAAGGAAAAACAGATTCATTCATTATAATTCTACCTTTTAAATGAATAAAAAAATAGGCATTTGGCGGGGGAGGGAGGAGGCCCGGCACCAGTAAGAGGAAACTCAGTTTGAGTGCTAACTCCAGGAATGATTGCATGGTACTGGTCAGTTTTATCACTTGTGTAATAGAGATTGTATTTCCCACAGCCCTTGTGAGGCCAAAATGACATAATGTACAAGGAAACTCCAAATGCCACGTACATGTAAAACATATCATTTCAGTCTTACTCTTTTAATCATAAGCAAGCCATCACCAAATGAACAACAGCAGAAAATAATTATCCAGAAGTTCAAAGTGTTATCATAATCAACGTAATTAGTAATCTTTGTATGATGAAAGCCTCATTTCTCAGTAATGTATATCATCTTCATTCTTAAAACTCCTTCCACATTTGAAATAAGTACATAATAGAAACATTAAAAATACACACAGACACACACAAAATAGCACTACTGTGCCAGTTTCAATGTAAACAAAACGACCTATATATACTTTGCAGTTAGCCATGGAGATGATACATCTATCCAACCCTGCAAAATCTATAAAAGCCAGTCTTTTTTAAAACTTCCCTAATTTAGTAAGTAACTTAATATTAATAGTGCTGATAGCATTAAAAGAAAAGTTATCATAGTGATACTATACTCCAAAAATATTCACAATGAGAAAACTAATTATATAAAGAAATAAAGATCAGGAACTTACTTATTATTAATATGCCTGGAATATGTCCTTCTTCATAGTGAGGAAAGAGGACAATTTTGGGAATTAAAACAATATTGTATAACCAGACAAAGACAATCAAACCCATGCAGCACCAACCATGTGGGTCAACAACAAAGTGAATCCGGAGACCCATTTTGCAGTCCTACAACTGCGTGCCAACCCACAAGGAAAGACGATCCTAAGGAGAGATGACAAAGAAAAAAAATTACTTACGTAGAAAAAATTATTTGACTGAAACACAACTACATTACCAGCAACTATAAGATGACGCCGAGTTTTCTTTGGATATTTTTGACAAAATGAAACACATCACAAAACAAAGAGAAGTTTCAGGATATTCAAACTTCATCAGAGGCTTCAAATCATTTAATTCCAATTTTTACTATGAGTTGCTATCACAGAGGATAAATTAGCAATACCTTCTGAAGCTAAACACAAGTCTGTCCTTAACCCAGCAATTCCATGTGTAAACCCAAGAGAAATGAGACACATGTCAAAAGATATGTGCAAAATATTTTAGTAGTTTTAATCATTAGACTAACTGATGGTCATACAAGTCAAAACAGTCCTCCTGTGGTGGGAGGGGAACATAAGGGAAACTTTGAGGGGCTAGAATTGTTCTCTATCTTGACCTGGGTGGTGTCTCATGGGTATATACCTATGTAAAAATTCACTGTACTGTGTACACTTAAGATTTGTGTGATTTATTTTAATTTTAAACCACAATACAATGCCTAATCATTTTGAAAAATAAAAAGCGGAAAGTAATCACAAGTTGCCAAAAATATTTAAATTCACAGAACAAAGCCCAACTAATCTTACTACTATCAATTCAAGAAGACTCCTGTTTAAATGGAGCTTTTTTCACTGAGCGTTAACAAAATGCTAATCGACCTTCCAGTGAGACACTTAAAGTTGATACTTCTATATTGATGGTACCAAAAAAGGTAATTTAAAATATATGCCTACCTTAGTAGATGAAATTTATAAGGCTTAAACAGGAAATTATAAGGTCAAGGGGGCACCTTTTACATAAAATAAAATGGAATAATACAATAGCAAACTAGGACAGTGTTTCTCAAACCTGTCAGCAAACTGGAATCGACTGAGGAGCTTTTTAAAAATACTTATTCCCAGGCCCCATTCCAGATCTACTGAATCATAATTCTTTATGGAACAAAAGCTCAAAAACCAATAAAATGTTTTAAAATGTTCCCCAGGTGTCTCTGATAGTGCACACTGGTGTCTAGAAACCACTGATCCAAAAGCTTCCCTAAAACTTCCATGTTAGGGCAATGAGTTGAATTCAGTTCAACAAATTTATTCACAGAGCTGCCATAACATACCAGTTATTATAGATAAATGATGAATGAGATGTGGTCTTTGCTTACAGTAACTAACAGTCTACTGGGGAAAAGAGTCAGAAAAATGCGTTTAGTACAACTTGTTAAGTACCAGAGATGTGGACAAGAAGTCACCAGAGGCAGGAGCATCTAGTTAAATTAGGGCAAGACTTCCTCTAGGTGGTGAAATCAGAGTTCAGCTTTAAAAGATGAGTAAAAGTTATCCAAGCAAAGAAAAGTGACAACAATACTGCAAACAGAAAGAAGAGCAGGTGGTATACAAGAGTAAAAATTGTAGGAGGTATTACAAATTGCCATCATAAGTCATAAAGTTCGCAGTGGAGAGTGAGGGGTGAGAAATAAGGGGCTACCTCGTGAAAGACATAAAGATGCCACGTTAGAATGCTAAGACTTCATTCTTTGGCATTGGAAAGCTACTGATGCAAGAAGTTAACATAATGAGATTTATATTTTAAATAAAGTATTGAAGCTCTGGTGTCTAGGATAAAATTAAAGATCAGTTAAGCCAAAAAAAAAGCCAAAATTAGGTTTGAGAAGAGATCAACTGAGGAAACAGGTACAATCAAATCAGTATGTTTTACTAACTGACTGGATATTAGGGGTTACAGAGGAAAGAGTCAAGAAGGACTTGGAGATTTTCATCTTCTATCCCTCACTATCACCAGTTGGAGAGCTTCAGGGTGCCGCCCCTTAGAGGCCCTGCCAATGTTCTTTAAAGCTACAAAGCTACCAGAACAAAGAAAAAAAAAAGATTTAGGATTAGCTAATTTTAAAGTAATACCCTGATCCTATTATCCTTAGAACATGCAAATACTGGAGCAGCAGAAAAAAAAAGACAAGAACTTAAACGCAACACCACCCAACTGTTTAAATCAGATATGGTCTAAATTAGTACTTATGTATGAATTTTAAAATAGGAATAGTGCCTAGGCCTTTAAAAAAGTAAAAGTTGAACTTCATTACCTTTTAATTAGAAAATTACAAGACCTATCAGTATCATTAAAGGAAGGAAAGTCACAGAGGATAAAGTATGCTATTTAATTTACTGGGTATCATTTTTTTAAAAACTAAAGGAGCTCAAATACAAATGATAAGCTGTCTACATAGCTAAAATGAGAAACATTAAAAAGAATGTTTTTTTTACAGTCTTGCCAACCATCAAGTGCCAAAAGAAATGACAGAAGGCTCTGTCTCTCAACATGTTCAATATTATTAACTTCATGTACCTTCTTTCTTGTAATGTTTCAGTTCCAGACAGGACTGAAAAACAGACTCTGAATTCCAATCATCACAGAGAACAGAGTAATTTCATTACTTATTTCTAAATTTATTAATATTAGAAACAGAAAAGCATTCAAGCCAGCAGAAGTATCAAACACTCATTCATGTTTCTGAACTCTATTTGTATCCTCCTCTACCACAGAATAACAAGCTCTTCTCAGGAGATTCCTCACAACTGAAGAATACTAGATACTGAAAAGCATACTTGAAGGTGTCTGATTTTCCTGCACGTGAGCATATATAGACAACAGGCTCTAAAAGAAAAAGCATCCCCAAGGAAAAGCAAGCAAAGAATAGAAAAATAAAACAATGAGTAAATAAGATGTTGAATTGTTTTTTAAATACCTGGTGAGTGAAAATTAGTGCCACATAAGCTTTATGGCTAGCTGTAGAGAAGCAAACAGTAGTCTTCGAAGAGCTCCAAATCAGATTACAACCAGCAACACGTACCTGGTTGAGTGGTAGGATCACTCCACTCAGTTAATATCTCCCAGGCGTGGCTTATGGCTGAACAGAAACTATTACACATCCTGAGCCACAACCAAACTGAACACAGCGCTGCTACTCGGTCTTAAGGGTGGCATTTGTAAAATACTTTCATTAGCCAGAGATTCTAACACGCTAATTTGTATATTACAAGGTGAGTTCATAACTCAAACTTTGATGTAACTAGTGGACATACTGGTACTTCAACATTTCTTAAGATTGTTATCTGGTAACTCTACTTGAGTGCTGTGACTAACTTCATTAATGATGTAAATTACTACAGCACCAACTTTTTTTTTTAAAGATATTATTCAACTCTAATAAACTAGACTACATAAATACTTACAATGTCCAAACTATTCTAGGAGGAAATGACCTTTTCTTGCCTTTTTAGGCCACTAGATTTTACCATGTATTTTCCTCAGGAAGAATGCTCGAATCCACTACGAAAAGAAAGGGATGGAAAACTATTATAGGACCAAAAACTATAAAATCAAAATGCAGCTTTTAGAAAATGATAGAAATTAGCCAAGATAATATACAAGAAATCTAGCCAAATGTTCTCTCTAAACTTAGTTTTATATGACTCTCCACCTCAGCCAGTAGTCTTACGAATGTTCCATGAATATGAAAAAAACATTCCCTCTCTCATTCCTCCTATCTGAAATGTCCCTACCATTTTGCTCACTCTATTTAAATTCAATTCACACTTCAAGGTCAATTTGAATCTCATTCTCCAGATGAAATTTTTCCTGCCACCTCAGTTCACAGTGATTTTCCTCTTCTAAATTCCAAATACAAAACAAAACTAGTACAAGAAAATAGCAAGTGGTTTTATAATCTCAAAATGAGGAAGACCTTCACAAACAAGACCTTCACAGACGAGACCACATAAAGATTAAAATTTCTGAGGCCTAAAACACATACCAAAAACAAAGTTAAAAGACAAAGTATCCCTTTTAAAAAACATTACAACATATGACTGGTAAGAGGCATACAAGATAAATACACAGAGAAGCAATTCACAAAGAAAAAAAATTTAATGGCTAATCATTACTGATTAGGAAAATGTGAAATAACTAGGTATGTTTTTTCATCCTTTGTACTCACAAAATTTTGGAAAGATTACCCAATGATGAGAGAGCACAGAGAAAAAGACACTCCCACCCATTACTGTGATGCATGTAAACTGATACAATCATCTTTAGAGGGCAATGTAGCAGTATCTATTAAAAAGTCAAACTCTCTGACCCTTTGACAAACTATTTGACCCAGCAGTTTTATGTCTAGTAAGAGCTACCAAAGTACCCATCAGAGTGTGGAGGGACATGTACATTCAAGGTGTTTCACACAGTGCTTTTTTGTATTCACAAAAATTGGGCACAACATCAATGTTCATGAAGAGGGAGGGGAATGATCAAATAAATTATAAGACATCCAAGGTGTAGAGTTATTTCCAAGCTACTGCAATTAAAAAAAAAAAGGAGGTAGATCTAAATCTGCATATGGCTACCCACACGTAGTGTTGAATGAAAGAAAGGAGGTTATGAGAAAGAAAGGAGGTTATGAGAAAAAGCTTAACAGTGGTTTCCTGGAGGAGAGGAGGATAATGAGAGACTAGGAAAAGGTATAAGGGAACATTCTGATTCCCTCATAAAGATCTCTATCTTGGTATGAATTTGAGATACACAGGTTGTGAACGTGTCCAAAGTCGGCAAATGTACACTTAAGAATGGTGCATTTCATGGTATGTAAATATACCTTTTAAAAAGCCCTATAAACCAACATTGAACTCTAGCTAATGATATGTAGGCTGAAGTATCAGGGAGGGGGCAGAAGGAGGAAATGTACTAATGTCTGCAATTTACTATGAAATGGATCAAAAAAAAATAAAGTGGATTGACGGATGGACAGAGAGATGGTTGAGCATGTTATGAAGTTTAATAAAATATTAGTTGTAGAATCTAGGTGATAGGTATTCAGATGTTACACCATAAAATTTTTTCAACTCTTCTGTTTAAAATTTTCATAACTGAATGTTGCAGGGGAAAGCAAATTATAGAAAAGTTTGTATAACATGATTCTTTTAAAAAAAAAACAAACATGTATTAGTAATTTCTATATATGTACAGAGGAAAAAAGTATAGAAGAAAACATATCCATCAAACTGTTAACATGAGTGGTTATCACTGGGCTGAGGAAGGATAGAGCAGTGCAAAGCAAGCTTTCACATCTCATGTATGGATTATGTGTTCTTCTAGGTTTATTAATAAAGATATGTACTTCTAAATTCTTTTCAACCAACTGAAAAATAAAGATTACCTAGGGGTTCTGATTAGACACTACAACCTTGTACACAAGATGTTTCATTTAAGCTCTCTTTATCGCTACATTTATTAACCTAATATTAAGTGCGTTTAAAGTTAATATTTTTTAAAATGCAGTGTAGAAGCATCACCTGTAAAGCCACGTCAGATTTGTGTTTCTGAAATTTGTATTACTTACAGATTATTTTTCTCTATGGAAAAAGAAATTTCTTATTTAAGAAATATCTAGTTAAAATTTAATATGAAAAAATTTAAATAAACATAATGTAACTACAATTATCTTTTTTTTGCAAATGGATAACTGTTAAATGCACCTAAAAATAAGACTTTAAGGACACTATGCCACATAATACAGAAACATATTCCCATGTAAAATTAAATGTAGACTTACCACTTGCAAATTCACCAAGATGTGTTGTAATTTTTCTGGTGCTTGCATTTAGAGGTTTTATCTTGATTCATTCCTTTTTTAGTTACATCCCAGCAAATGGATCTCTCCTCAGTAACAGTTCTCCATGAGAATCTATTAATGGTTTAACAAATAATGATCTCTTACAAAGATAAAAACTGTAAGCCGCTAAATAGTCTGTGAAAATGTCAGTTACGAAAGTTTTAAATTCACAAATAAGATCAACTCCACCTGATTGTGTGTTTTCATACCCTACCCCATCCCCCCAATCTGCAATTGATTGCCACTGTACAGGAAAGTTCTCTCCTTTGAAACCACCCAGTTCCCAGAAAATCAAATTACTATTGTATGTCCAACACTTGGGCTTCATCAAACTTCCTAACCACAAATCACAAAGTGACAACAGACTCTGAGATCACTGATGAGACAAAATGCAATGGAATGTCTATCAAGATGTGAGGCTGGGAACTATCCCATCACAACTGATAAACATAAACTAAAGAGTTTAAAATAGAAGCAAGTTTTAGTTTAAAATATTTTAAGGAAAAAAGCTATCCTCCTGTAATGAACCATTAAGAGAATCAGCCATAAAAGTTAGTTTCTACAGTCCAAGCTTAAACAATAATAAAGAGTTCTAGATAACATATATACACTGATTATGTATTTTATTAGTTCACTTAGCATCGATTGACTAAATACTATGCTTTTGCACAGGATACAGATAAAAAAGAGATGAGCCCCATCCTCAGTGAAGACAGACTAGTAAACAGACCAGATCAATATCTTTGTAAGACAAGGTGAGATAGAGGGCAAGACGGCAGGAATGCATCTCATATAGTAAGGGTATTAGCTCATGGAACTTTTTTCAGTTATGGGAATATTTACGTGCATACTAGGTTGTAGTACAAAAGGTATTTCCTATGGTGAGTTGCCATCAGGAAAAGGTTTCTGGAGAGAGTGAAACCTGTGAGTTAGCTAGTCAAAGAATGAGGCTCTTCTGAACAAGGGAGCGAAATATGCAAAAGTATAGAGCAGGCAGAGAAAACCTAAGTAAACTGAAATTACTAGAGTCATTGCATATGGAAAAATGGGGTAAAACATGTTTAACCTTTCGAACACACTCACCTCTAAGAAATATATTTCGTAACATTACCAGTACACACAGAAATATATGATATGAGAATGTTCTATACTCATTAAATGATATAATTGAAAAAGTTTAATGAAATATTTGCCCTTACTACATGTGATGTACTCTGATACTGTTATTCTATTTTACCCTAGTTCATTTTAATAAAAATATATAATGTTGGTCATAGCCCACTAAAGGGATTCCATAACCCACAACAAAAGAGTAATCTAAGAGGGAAAAACACTGTTAAACCATGCTAATGAATTTGGACTTTGCACTGAACACAGTGGAAAACCACTGCAGGATTTTAGGCGGAAGAATGCCATGATGAAGTTCACATTTTGGAAAGAACAGCAATACTATGAAGGATGGACTTGGGTGGATGGATAAAGCTCCAAAATGGACTACATAAAATAAGCTAGGCTTACTGGTTACCCAGGTGAGAAATGAGGGCACGTGGGAAGACCAAAACAGTAGTGACTTGTAAGGGGAGTGTGGAGGAGCAGGGGTAAAGAAGGAATACTTAGGACAGGAGACATGCTGGAAAGGGGCAGATTAAGAATTTAACGAGTAAAATTGACAGGACTTGGTGATCAATTGGAAGCAAAGGGCAGACTGTAGGTTTTTGGCTTAGGGACTATGTGAAGGGTGGTACCATTCTCCAAGACAGGAAATGAAGGACAAGTTACGAGTTTCTTAAGCATACTGTTTACCATAGCAAAAGGAAAGTTTTACACACTAAGGATGTGAGAAATGTATCAAAATCCTTAGTATTACATTTCCATTCCCCTTATAGACTTTTTAAATTGGATTTTCTCCCAGCGTCAATTTTTCTATGGTCATGATTGTTAGATTGTCCAATGTGATTTGTTTCACTTTCTAAGATAATTTACAGTGCTTTCCTTGCCCGCACCTTTGATTTCTTAGGGACAAAATATGGAATGACAAAGTACAGGAGCTGCTACTCTAATAGCAAATGAATGAATTCATCTTCTTCTAGACAAAATCGCAAGCAGAATTAAATGCAGTACAACAAAATGTCTGAGACGGCCAAAGTCAATAATCTGCTATGGCGAGGACTCCAGGGTGGCTTCCTAATGTCTCAGCAAGACAGTACTTCCTGTCAGTGTTATTAGGTAACAGCCCAAGTCAAACGTCTATGAGTCAAACCCCGGTCACTCACTGGCTTGGACTCAAGGAAAACTCCTACTTTACATTTTCAGTTATTACAGCTACACTGAAGCATAGCATTTACAACGGGATGCCCATTTTATCAAATTCAGCAGCATCACCGACATCATGGAATCAAATCTCACCTATGAGGTACAGAAACAATGCTAGGCTTAAAACTCCATGTAAATTTGGGATAACGAAGAATATCCAAAGTTCTATAACTATAAAAGGTCATAAAGTCATTAAATATTTTTAACATTATGTCTGAAAGAATATAATCAACAATTCACAGAGCAAACCAAAAAAAAAAAAAAATTTCCACAGAAAGTTCCGAAAACGGTTAATATATGGATATATAAAATTTAAACTTATAATTGCACCTTAAAATGAAGTTACAACTACATACTTTTAAACATATTTAAACTTCTGATGTTATCTACTCTGAAAATTGGCCAAGATAAATAATTCTACCTAAAATACCAAGCTACAGGGGCACCTGGGTGGCTCAGATGATTAGGCAGCTGACTCTTGATTTCGGCTCAGGTCATGATCTCAGGGTCCTGGGATAGGTCCTGAATCAGGCTCCACACTCTCTTTGCCCCTCCCCTTGCTCCTGCTCTCTCTCTCTCTCTAAAATAAATAAATAAATCATTTAAATATATATGTGTGTGTGTATATATATATATAAAGATTAAAAAATGTATCAGGCTATAGCTGTCTCCAATAATTAGCCAAGGGGGTAGTTCAATTTTTAAAATATCACATAGGTATTCAGTTTATTTCAACAGAGTAGGAAATTAATCTTGTGGGGATATGAAAAAGAGAGCCACATTCAAATTATGACACAGCCTCCAAGCTGCCGTTTCTTTTCAAGCTTCCGTTTAGCCATCTGTAAAATGATGATAAAAATAACTCCCGGAATTGTTGTCATGCTTAAATGAGAAACTGCCTGACAAATGAAAAGCAACTCCCAAAATAGTAACTTTAAAGGGGAGTGGGGGACAGGAGAGGAAGAGAGACAAAGGTAAGTTTTACTTCTAATCCTGCAAACTCCAGAATCAAACAGTGTTTCTGGGTCCCTACCTTTAAAGTCGTGATACAATCTAACCATACCCCAGCTCTACTTCCTCTAACACTAAAGTCTGAGAACACTTGTCAGGGATGAGAAACCTCCCACAGCCCAGCCTTTCAGCTGCTATCATACTATGAGCACAGAGGGAAGTTTTATTTGCACGTGTTGGCATGGGGTCTCTTCAAGCAGAAAACTGAAAATAGAGATTTGATCTAAAATAGATGGACTGAACTAAAACCTGTAAACCAAAATCTTTCAAGGAAAAGCAGAAGGGCTGGTAAGTTAAGGACTAAAACACAGTTGCGAGCAAATCAGGACCAGATTTCAGAAGCTAATGAAGAATGCACAATCAAAGTAGGGAATTTTGACTCAATGCTGAGGTCTCCAGGAAGACTTTGTGAAAATGTGGGTGGGCAAAGTGTCAAAGGAGAACATACTTGCACCACCAATGGTTTCAAGAACCCACTTCTAGAACAAGCCCTTAAATCACTACCTTCTAGGCAAAACTGAACATAAGACATTGCTCCTCTGTGTACCTGCTTCATGAGTGAAAAATAAATGTAAATTAATACCTCTATTAAAAATATTGCACTGCAGTGACACACCTCATCGGAATTCCCTAACAGAAAATAAAAATAGCTTGGAAGGTGTGGGATGATATGAATTAAAGATACCAAATCCTGCTTCAGTCAGTATAAAGTGTCTACGTTGGAATCTTCACTGAGGAAGGCAGGGATGTTGTGGGAGAGAGTCAGGAAAGGCGAGAAGAACTAAAGTTGAATGTAGAGTAGGGACAGAAGGCAACAGATAACCTTTGCTTCAAACACAGCACAAGAAAAAACCTTCAGATAAAGTAAAAGCCAGAAATGAAGAGGCTCTGGCGTTTCCTGGACATGAACCTGACATGTTCTTCCAAGGGGAAAGGGAAACTAGCTACCTACCTCTAGTACCCACTCCACCAAGACAAACTGAAAAAAAAAAAATACTAAATCAGATTTCCTTCCCACCAGGCTCTACCAAAGCAGGCACAGTTTAAGAACAACAATACTGAAAGAAATCATCACTCCGTCTTGCTTGAAGCTGAAAATCCTACAGGAGGTAAAGTTATTCATTCCATAATTATGGATAAAAGGCTTAAAATCAGAAGCCTGGCTGAGTCACACCCGAGCATGTTAAAGTTAGAACTAACATAAAACTAATCAGCGAGTGGCAAAATACTCATTTTTACCTAACCTGCCCTTTTGTGGAAGTGGCAACAGGTAGATGAAGAGAGCAGATACCCTGTCAGCCCCTTAAATGGGATGAGGTAAATCTACCTCCGAGGTAAAGCACAGGGCAAGAGGAGGCCTCAAAGGCAGAAGAAAAACTTTGAAAATGTCACGTCTTTTCCCTAGGGTACATCAAAAGAGGGAAATAAGTAAATAAACTATCACCCTAAGATATTTCTGGCGAGGTAGCTACCGATGAGAGCAGTGCTACTTCACATGTGTGAATAACTAGGTTTATTCAATTTACCAATGATTCTTTTTTTATTGTATTATGTTAATCACCATACATTACATAAATTTACCAATGATTCTTAACCAAAAAAATCACTATGCTGACAACAAAGAGGGTTTTTTCCATCTATTCTTGTCTCTTACCTGTATTTTTCACTGATACAAAATAGTTCAAACATTTTTCAGCTTTAATAAGAGCTATAAGTGCACTGATTATTCTACTAGATGTTAAAATGCCATTTATATTTAGTGCACTTGAAAAACTGAATCTGAGCCCTAATGTTTTACTAAAGCAATATAAAATTCCTTCATGCCTTAATATAAAAGTAAAACTCAGCTTTAGAAAAAACTCCCTGGTAATAAAGATAGATTTTCTTCTGCCCTCCCTGTTATACCTGTTAATACTGACACTACCATTATGTAGCCTTCTATGCTGAAAAAGATTGCATTGACTCACACTCAATTACAATCCCAGAAAAAAACCTCCATGGAGGCAATACTAGACTTCTCAATTAGTTTCTTCACTAATACAGGGCATGATTTTATCCATGCACTTTTCCACAGGTTCTCAATCAGTCCCTCTGAATTAAAGAAATCAGGCAGTGGGCAAATAAGTAAAAATTTTGATTCACACTGATCACTCCTTCTTTAGAATCTACCTGTTAAGCTGATGGTTACATGTACGCATTTACCTGCATTTTTATTAAATAAAACACCCCAGAGATAGGTAGGCAGTGTGACACGGTTACCATCATTTTATTTAAAATATGCTCTATTTCTTTTATTCCAACTACAGCTTCTAAAGTATTTTACATTTAACAGAAATCACCACCATTTGAAGGGACCTAATTATGATCCCATCGGTTTACATCCAAAATGAGGAATTCAAAATGAGGGATTCTACACCAAATACTATTCCAAAAGTATAGAATATACATTTTTTAGTTATATTTTGATATAATTTTCCTAATACTTCTTCAGGTATATGTTTAAAATGTACTCTTAACATGTTAAAGGGTTTTAAATTAATTACAAACGTAGCATATGCCAAATAGGTATGGAATAGCTAAAACGAGCCTTAAAGAATTTAGCCTAACTCCTTAGTTGTGTAGATGAGAAAACAGGGTGGATCACTGACCTATCCATGACCCTACAGCTAGATTGTGACAGCAGTGGGACTAGAATCTAGTTTTTCTTTCCACTACACTAAATCTCATTTGGTTCCTTCTTTCCAATTGATTTCTCACCTCATCTCTTCCTCAAAAATCTTTTTGCCATTAAGAGGTTCAACAACTAAAGCAACATAAAACACTGCTCTGGATTTTATCTGTAAAATAAGTAAAATCTAAAGAAATGGGAGGATTTAACAAGACATTGCACAAAAAGCCAAGGAAGGCACATACCAGGCAGTCATCAAATAACTATTATGGTTCGTTATTACTATTTTTACAAGGAAGGTAGTGTTTTTTTTTTTAAGGATACATACATATTAGCATCCTAGGCTGAGGATCCATCTGACACATCACCTTTTTTAACTTGCGCTTAATTATCCTTAGTCGTCTTTTAGGCTGTAACTTTACACTATGATTTATGACCCACCCACAATGACCTTAATTTTTTTTTTGCTCTTGTATTTTATGAACTGCTATAACTGCAATATTTTCGAGTAATAACCGGTCAGGTTCTCTCGGCCCTAGAGATACAGCCATCCTCCACTGACTCACAAGGGATTTTAAAATGTGACCCAAATATAGCTTGAGAAACCACAACTTTAAATGGACTCTCCACTTAAAATCCAGCAACCTATTTATTATAGTAAATGGTAACAAGTGCAAACTGCTGCCACCCATAAGCCATTTTCTCAGAATCACTCTTGGATCTGGGCGGAGGGAGGCAGAAGGTCAATAAGGGAGCAAACTCTGCTCCTGCTAGTCCTCTGCAGCCTCGCGCCGGTGATCTGGAAATGAATGAAAGGCGGCGATAACAGAGAGAAACCCGGGATCCCTGCGCAGGTCTCCGGGCGGGGCTGCAGAGAGGAAAACTGTAGTGCACAGGCGAGAAACTCAGGGCACAGGTTTAATAAATTAAAAAGCAAAAGCAAAAAACCCCACCCCAAATCACCTCGGCTAGAGCAGGAACCCACCCCCACCCCCACTCCCAGTTCTGGAAGGGGAGCTGGCGGGCGGCGGCGGCTGCTCTGAGACCCGCCGGGCCCGGGCGAGCCGGTTCCGAGCGGGGGCGGGGGCGGGAGTGGAGTGGGGGGCGCAGGTGCGGGGGGCAGGTGCGGGGCGCGGCAGGGCGCGGGGCGGCAGCGCGGCCAGGTGAGGGCGGCGGGAGGCGGGCGCCGGGCAGCGGCGGCGGCGGGGGCCCGGCGGGGCGGGGCGGGGCGGGGGCCGGGGGGGGGTGGGGGCGGCCGCGTCGGCCCCGCGCCTGCACACACTCACCGGCGCCGGCAGGCTCGCCTCTCGCCGCCGCTGCTCTCGCGGCCGCCAGCCGCTCTTCCCCCGCCTCCTCCGGCGCCGCCGTCGCCCAGGCCGGGCCGCGCTTCCCTTCCGCTTCCGGGAGCCGGAGCGCCGGGGCCGGCGGGGTGGGTGTGCGCCCGCCCGCGCGCTGGAGCCACCGGCCGCCGCCGTCCCCGCTCGGCCCCCGGGAGCCGCGATGGGGGCCGCGATGGGGGCCGCGATGGGGGCCGCGATGGGGGCCGCCGAGGGCCGAAAGAGCAGAAATCGCGCCGCGGGCGGGAGGAGATGCGCCGCGGCCCGAGGCCGCGTGCGGCGCGGGCCCGCCGCCCCCGGAACACTCGTACCTGACGCACCTTGGCGCCTCCGCCCTCCGCGCTGCCACCTTCCCAGCGGTGCCCGGGCCGTCCTTCTCCGTCCCCACACCCTCACCGTCCCGCTCGCTGGGGGACCGCAGAGGGGCCTTCCCGTAAGGACTGCAAGTATCCCTCCTCCTTCAGGGATAATGGCCAGCAGGCCCCTGTCTTCCGCTAACGCGTTCGGGATGTCCCCTGGTACCTTGTTTCAAAGTGCGCCCGCGGCATCTGCATCCTCTGGGAACGTGTTAGAAACGCACCACCTCAGATCTGCTGAATCAGTATCTGCATTTTAACAAGATCTCCAGGTGATTCCTACATGGGCACCTTAAATATTGAAAGGCACTGGATTCTAGTGCGTGGTCTTGCCTCTTCGGACCCTCTATGCGGCAAGAGCCAGAGTCGCCCCGGCCATCTGAGATGTTGCCTGGTCCTGTCGGCAACCTCAGTGCATACCCAAACAAGCTTTACTCCGTATTTAAGGAGACAACCGAAAGTTGTCAGCTTTCCCATCCCTGCAACCTAGGAAAAATAAGTTGACTCAACATTGTAAATAATCCACCTCCCGGCGTTAAGTTGGTATCTTACCAAACAGCAGAGACATACTAAAACTCCCCTCTCTTCCCTCACCTAACCCGAACAGTGCTCTGGATACAGTACTACAGTGTTTGGAGTCGTGTAGCGCTAAATCTTGGTGCCTGTATGCCACAGGAGGAGATAATGTGTGGATGGAAGAATATTACTTGATGCATAAAATCTGAACTTAGAGGATGGCATTGAAAGCCCTTCACAAACTTGCCTCTACTTACCTCTCCAGTCTTAGCTCAAATGAACTTGGTTCGTTTACCCTTCCTAGGATGCCCTTCGTCTTCCTCTCTGATGATCTTTATCCAAACTTGGGAGTCAGTTCAAATCCTACCAGCCCAGAGTACTCTCCCACCACCGTACTTATATCACACACATGAAGCTTATTTTGGACCCATATGTTACCTTGTATTGCTAGGTATTTTTAAACATGTTGTGTTCCGATTTATGAATCAATTACAAACACCTTAGGGCCTTAAAGACCTACATCAGTGATTATCATAGTCCTCACACCAGCAGCATCAACATTACCTGGGAACTAGTGAGAGATCCACATTCTCCAGCTCCACCCCAGATCTACTGTATTAGAAATGTCAGGGGTGAAGCCCGGCAATCAGTGTTTTAACAAGCCTTCCAGGTGATTCTAATGCACACTCAAGTTTTAGAGCTACTGACCTGAAATATTGTCTTTTACCCCCAATGGAATTCAATGATTGGGATTGATTTGACTATATGCAAGTTTTATTGCCTTTCAGATTAAGAAATCAGCTCCTCCATTTATGCATAACTAGGTTGGGAGGCTGTGACAATTGCTTTTGAAAGAATTGTCTTTGGTTTTCATAATGCATTTTATGTAGTAGGATCTTTGTAACTTGGTTTGTTTGAAAAGAAAGAAAGGGGCCCCTGGTTCCGACTCTTGGTTTTGGCTCAGGTCATGATCTCGAGGTTGTGGGATTGAGCCCCATGTCCGGCTCTGTGCTCAGTGCAGAGTCTGCTTCAAATTCTCTCGCCCTCTCCTTCTCATTCACTCTCTCTCAAATAAATAAATAAAATCTTAGAGAGAAAGAGAAAGGGAAGAGAAGAGAAGAAGGAAAGAAAGAATACAGGGGTGCCTGGGTGGCTCAGTCCTTTAAGTGTCAGACTCTTGATTTCTGCTCGGGTCATGATCTCGAGGCTGTGGGATGGAGCCCCATGTCTGGCTCAGTGCAGAGTATGCTTGAGATTCTTTCTCTCCCTCTGCCCTTCTCCCCACTCACATTTTCTCTCTCTCTCAAATAAATAAACCGAAGGAGGGAGGGAGGAAAGGCAGGGAGGAAAAGGAAAGGAAGGAAGGGAGGAAGGAAATATAACTCGTCACTTTGGGCATAGGAGAAACGTGGAGTTTTACTTCCAAAATTTGAGTACCTGAATTGCATATCATTTTGCTCTCTTTTAGTATACTATTGTGAGAAGGAATAATTTTTTGGCAAATGATTTCAACAAGTACCAAAATGAGAATTAGTTGAGTGGCACGTGAATGCTGTGACAATTGGAAGTATATGTATTTTTCATGCACTTTGTCATGCGTTAACCTGTCTCTTATCAGCCAAGCCCATTTCACAGAGAATGTTCTAAATAAGACGTGGAAGGAGAGAAGTGGAAGGAAAACCATTCTCAAAATCATGATCTTTCTAGCATGGGCACTTAAGAAGTCTAATCAAGGGCCTATCTGTCCCTTACACTGAAGGTCAAGTCATAAGCATGACTGTATTATGTCACAACCCATATACTTGACTCCTGTTTCATAATGAAAGGGTAAGGGAGATATGGCATCATGTAATCTTTTTTGAGACGCTTTTCTATTCACTGTAAGGATGGAGAGAAGATATATCTGCTATATTCTCCCTCCAGAATTCTAGTCTACTTCATCCTTCCTGTGACTAGCTGAAAGATGATTATTAATCAAACTAATATTTATCTGGGAATTGAAAAAGTAGGCAAGAACCAGCAGCATTGCTGCAACTGCCAACTTCACTTCTCCACAAAGGCACAGTCAGGGCATTTATGTGGATAAACTCAGCCAACTAATGTGCTTCTGTGCCATGACTGGGGAGGACTGGGTTTGACTGCAATTTCCAAAAGTCAGTGCAAGTGCAGTCCAGAGTTTAATCAACACTGGCTAATAGCCCTTGGCAGCTTTGGGTGGATGGCGTTCTCCACCTGCCCAGCTGGGTACCATGCCCTAAGCACCCACATTTGATGCACATTCATGATTTCTTGGTTGCTTATAGTCATGTCCCCCATCTGTTTGAGTGGCAGAGTGCCCATTCCAGAACAGTCTAATATTCTAAGAGTTGTTCTTAACCTCTTTTGGGTTACACATCTCTTTGAGCATCCAATGAAAGTTAGGGACCCTCTTTCCCAACAAAGTGCGTGTGTATACACACAATTATATAAACATGTACATATATATTTATGAATAAAATTTCAGAAGCTGCCCCACCTTCCCATGCCTCCAGAGGACCACAATGAAGTCACGAACATCAGGTTAAGAATCTGCTTTAGGATATGGAGAGTAGGTAAAATAAACTTTTTTTCAGATATTAAAGATAACTCTAAAAATCACTGCGTGCTTAGGAGATAGAACAAAAGCAATGCTAAGCAGAGTCACATTTGGGAGTGCTAAAGAAACACCTAGCCATGTCAACAGAGTGGTTCAGGAGTGGCTTCATGGAGAAAGGTTCTTGCATCAGGCAAATAAGAACAGGACTTTGGGACAAAGGATCCCTCCAGCATAGGGGAAAGGGTATGCAAGGCATGGAGACATGAAGGTACGGCAGTCCATCCAGTGTGGCTCAAAAGTAAAATACATGGAAAGATAAGAGAATCAAAAGGTAGAATAGAGTCAAATCATGGTGAGCCTCAAATTCAACGCTATTTCCAATGAGGAGCCAATATAAGCTTCTGGAGTAAGGTAACCTAGAAAGACTTTATTAGTGAGTGCCATGGCATCATCAAAATGCAGAGCAGTCGAACATTTTAAAAAGTTCTCCATAGGGGCACCTGGGTGGCTCAGTCGGTTGAGCGTCTGCTTTCAGCTTTGGTCATGATTCTGGGGTCCTGGGATCAAGTCCTGCTCAGCAGGAAGCCTGCTTCTCCCTCTCCTTCTCCTTCTGCCCCTCCCCCTGTTTGTGCTCTCTCTCTCCCTCTCTCTCAAATGGGTAAAATCTTAAAAAAAAAAAAAAATTCTCCATATCCTAAATTGAAACCTATGAGTAAAGCCACATGGCTTCATCTCAACTTTTTAGGGTTGCTTGATTCTTGCTCTAGAGGTTTCTATTAAGCTAAATCAAGATGAACTCAAAATCCTTACAGTTCGTTAAGTGCTGCTGAGAAAACATATCCTGGTGAATGTTCAGGTGAATTTAGAATCCAGGACACTGAAAGAGTTAAAATTTATTTGGAATTGAAAGCATGAAAATCAACTGGGACCGAAAAGAGAAAAGAAGCCCCATCATTAATCAGGCTGGGAGGAGAGACACAGGTCAAGCCAGCTGCCAAGTTAATAGCAAACACTGTTTCTGCCAAGGTCACACGGCAGATATAAATTACTATAATGACCCCCTCTTTGGGTGATTACTGACCAGTGATGCCTCAGACCACTTGCTATTTTCATTTATTACTGGGGATACCCAAATGCTCGGCCAACTTCACCTCACGACAGCACCCAATTCCTAATTAGTTCCCTCTTTTTCTAATCCCACCTCAATATAACAATCGATCCAAAACTGATCCCTGCTTCCCTTCGACCATCTTCAAAATCCTTCAGTGAAAGCCCAATTGACATTGGGCTCACCCCTCCTACTTGTCTAGTGGTACTTCTCTAAAGAGCCCTCCCTCCTTGAAGGGCAAGAAATCTGATTTTTGTCCGGTTACAGGCTTGTCCCTGGCAGTCTTTGGCTGATTAAGTTTTAGCAAACCCATTTGATAATGAAAGCCACCCATCGTCAGAATTCAAAAGTCAGGGCTCTTCAGGAAAAGGGTTTCCTTTTCTCTGTCCGAAGGTAGCTGCCATTCTCAGCAATGAGACTTAGCGGTTTCACACATGGGTTCTTCCAACACAGGAGGAAGTGATGCTCTGGGTAGGTCACTCCGATCCCTCATCTTTTGGAGAAATGTGGATTGAGGTAGAAAGTGGAAGGAAAATGGGCTTTTATTTTTATTTTATTTTTTTTGAAAATGTGCTTTTAAAAAAAAGAATATGTGCTTTTAAGAACAATTTTTACAAGTAGTGTTTTTAGAAAATAGCTTAACTTAAGTAAATGGGATTAATAGAGATCCAAGACAGAAGTAAAACGGGTCTAGAAAGATGATAAGTTCTACCCCGGTTCAATGTAAAGGACATATTAAAAACAGGGTCATTTTGATGATGCTGAGACCTCATTGCATGAAGAGAAGAGATCGAGAATTTCATTGAGAGATTTTATTATAAAAAAAATAGCCAAAGAGATGGTGAGGATGGGGGGGCGGGGGGCTGGTTTGTCTCTAAGACATAAAAATAGAGATGAGGAAGGGGCATCTGGGTGGCTCAGCTGATTAAGCATCTGACTCTTGGTTTCGGCTCAGGTCGTGATC